ATAGGCTATATAAAAAACCCTCGGCTCAATAATTACAAAACCAACTTCTACGAAAGCTATATTTTACAACATTTACTTTTAAGCAAACTCGTAAAACAGGATTAAGAATCGATTAAACTGGTAAACGTCCACCTTATCTCACTTTCCGGCCAGTTACGGCGGGTACAATAATTACCCGCCAAATGGAACACTTGTCTTCCCGCCAGATTACATAGTAGCGGTTAGTCGCGGGTGAAGTGGGGTGAGGGGAGGTATAAACCATAACGCAGTCAAACTTATCTGTCCCGCTTATGACCGTTTTAAATTGAATTCGATAACCGATTGGGGTGTCACCCATCCCCCGTCCACCCTGCAGATCGGGTGTTTAATGTTTACCATGGCCGCAATGGGCAGGCTCACTTCTGCTCTGGAGAGCCGTATTTTTCAATCTTGATTCCATTTGACCCCTCCTCTAAAGTGGCAGATTTTTCATTTCGCGTTTCGCATGCGAATTGAAACAATATGGGTTGTGCAGGGAATTCGGATTGTGAGGGGTTTTCAATTGTATAATTTGTTGACTCTCTGCATAAATCATAGTGATATAATTGTTTTGAAGGCTACAAAATAATGTTTTAGTTATGGCACAAAAACTAAGAAGTTATTATAGGCTAGTTTATAGGCTATTGTATCAAACATTTTATATGTACTTGTTATTGCAATAATTTTAAATACACCATATTTTATAAAGTAAAATGTTACGCAATTTATATCATTGAGGCACAAAATTCGCAGACACTTTTCGTAAACGTTTGGAGAATAGATGTGTACGAATACATAAAAATAAATTATAGAATAAAAATAAATTCACTTTTTTGAAAACCATCGAATGATTCTTTTTAAATTACTAAATCCGTTTAACCAAATATGTGGGTGAACATAAATTCATATAATGTAAGGTGTAATTCAGCATTATACAGTAACTACGGGGTTGATAAAGGGTGCACTGAGTCAGGGGATGAAAGGCCGCAGTGAAAGGGACCTCGTAAAAAGCCGTATTCAACATTAGACGGTAAGATTGATATTTATTCTCTATAGAAAAGTTGGGAATCGTTAGGGGACATTTTGAGCGGACAATGGCGCTTCCTCGGATCTCGCGCTCGGGTACTTCTCAAAACCCAAGTTATACCCCCATGAAACTCCTCACTATCACCCCCCCCCCTCCCGGCACCCTGTCACTGCTGCATGTATTGGTATTGAACTAGGTGCCAAAGCTATCCACATAAAGTAAATGCAAAACTTGGACATAAACAACATAACACAGGATTCAGGTATATTAACCCAAACTTCAGATTTACAACAAGATAAAAGTCTACTTGCTTATCAAAAGACAGTTAGTTATATTGTTTAAGACAATTATTTTAAAACTATAATAACCCTTAATATGGTGACATGTTATCCCTAGCATGATTTTATGCTAAATGCTTTGTTTGAACAGGATACAATCAAATTGGTTCACGACTGAAAGTGTATTTATATTGTTCAGTCTGACAAAAAGTCAATTATAAATGCACTTACAACTAAGTTGGTCATACGACGTCTGGAAGTTTGATCTACCTTAAAGCTTTACGATGAAATCACAGCAGAACATGTAAACGTCATTGACACTGAGTGTGATGACAATGAGCGTCCAAACTACTAAGTACACGTCTGCCCATGTTATGATTGTAGTACAGTCTGTGTTCATCTCACCGAAGTGTGTATGTAGAGTAACGAATAAAATAAATTCGCAAGAACGTGTAACTTAAAATAAATACTCGTATGTATGCCAAATACTCGTATGCCAAATAGTTTTGATTGTAATTTTGTTAATATTTGACTTCTAAACAAGTGTACTGAATTAACTAATGCATTAAACCCCTCAAATAAAAATGTTTAAATGGTCAGTTGGCTTAAACTATGGTAGTTTTGGTAGTAGTGACTCCATGGTAGTTTTAGGTTAATACAAATTTAGAAATACGTTGTGAACGAACAATTTAAAATCTTATTTACTCATTCAAGACCTGATGATTATAAGCCTAAATATTTTTGCCTTACAAGACTTCACTATGAACATTGTATAATCTATGCTCACATTTGAACATATTTCGTATTGGTATAAAGTGGCTGTATCAGAGTATGTTTGTTTAGCGCTTTTAACAAACTGAAGAGGCAGGAAGACAGCTAAACTAGGCTTTGTAGCATAATTACTGCTTTGGGCCGCTATTGAACAGCAGTTGAGGTACAGGATATACTATTGGAGCAGAGGGTCAGTTGAGCTAATTAGTCTTTTGGCAATAAATAATAGGTTTAGATTTGACTGTAGGAATTCATAGCATATATTGTTATGTGGTTTTGGTGAAATATAAAAAATATTTAGGTTAATTTTGGAATAACTACAACCAAAATTAATATAACCGTACAGTTGCAAAACGTTATAGACAATGCAATAGTAAACATTTTTTATATTGTCTTTTACCACTTCCATAGTTTTTTTCTATTAATCTAATTAGTCGATAAATTCTTTTTATTATTTTTTATTGAGGAAGAGAACCCCCAATGCATTATTATCCATGACATAAGTAATAACTACGTCTGAGTTAACGCTTAACTCCACAACTTACCGCATCGCAAAGGACTTAGATTCGTGAGTCGCGCCTTCATTTCTCCCCTATGTGATTCAGCTACTGCACTGATTTTGCCTGCAGCGCCTGGCAAATGGAACCTCTCATAACTTCAACTTCTCAGTGTGTTCTGTGTTAGTGCCTGCTGACACCAATGGAATTTCAAGTGTTATTTATAAGTTATTTAAAAAAAATACATTTACATCAAAACTATTGTACACCGGAGAAATGACAGTCTCATTTGTTGCATTGCATATCACTCTGTATATGAACCACGTATTTGTATTCTGTTTCACTGCAAACCTAAATACACATGGTTATGATGCGATACGGCGACTCATTTAAACCACTGTTTACATAGTTTGTTTCAATTTGGTAACTCTAAACAGCCTAAAAGGTTGCAAACAAGTATATAAAACATAAAAGTAAACATTTACTTTATGTTTTTTTTTTATCCAAAGTTAACCAATTTACGATAACAAATAATTATATATTTTATTTTTAGTATAATTTAGTAAAGTGTTTATAAACATAAGGCATATCTAGTACTTAAAAGGTTGATACAAAAATACAGCCAAGCATATAATTATGATACTCTATCTACGAAACAATGTATGGCCGGGATCACAATGTGATCACTTCTCGTTCACTAAAACAGTGACATTTTAACGTATTTTAGGCTAAAAATAATGTTGAGTTTGTGTAGAATCAAATGAGGTGCCATATTTAACTTTTATATTGACTAAGATTTGAATACTGCCTTTGTTACAATTAAACTGGGAACTACATGGTCGTTAGCACTATAACCATTCCGCTGCATACTATATAGTCGTGGTCTCCTGGGGACGACTATATAGTCAAAAACGACGAATCCCTTTTTCTCACATGGTACTCTACCATAGATGAATTAATATAATTGACTCTACATATAGGCCGAAAGTTTGGTGAGTGAAAGTGATTTGCCGATTTTGACACGGTCGTTACCAGAAACCTCGATTCCTGAAGTGACTGTGGAATCCTATCCAGTAAGATTAAAACACATACTATCTATTTGCTTAAATTGTGCCTACATTTAAGATAAAAAATTAACAAGTAAACAAAAATACAAATCGTGATGAATCCCCAATAAAATAAAACAACACGCACTAGAGTTTGTCTATGGGACAGATTCACAGAGAAATAGTGACATGTGGCCACCGCGAGTGTTTATGCTGTTTGAATTATGAACACTATGGATGAATAAAATGTGCCCGTGCATATCGGAGCTGCATAATTAGGCATGGCTGTGCGAACATGTGGCTACGCTGTGACTTCATTGTTACTGTTGAAAACACTGTCACATCATGATCTATTACTGTTACAATCATGTTCTGTTTATTGTAACGCAATTTTAGGGTGATTGTATGTTTACCGTGTGTGTTGATGTAATATTTAAATAGATACATTTAAAATTTTCGCCAAACACCCTAGTTATCCGTGCTCTAGTTTTCCCGGATTAGGCAGAAAAATTTGTATTCTAGTGACACAGACACACATTTAGATGGATAGACATGAATGAAGATAAGACTCGTTTCGGCTATGAAACAAAAAAAATCAAAAACTACTGAATGAACGGATCTAATCTACCTAATTAATGTACAGAAAACCCTGTAATTTTATTTATGTAGATTTAACTATCGTCACATACCTATTTCAGTTCCTTAAACGCTTATTTCAGTAACCGTTAATGTTCTTACATACTTTATAGTGGCCTAGTGTTTATATTTTTAAATGTCCTACCAAAAAGGAGGACATTTAAGAGAAATGTGCAAATAATAAAAACCAAAGATTTCCAAATCGTGAAACTTGTACCATGTACAACTTGTACGTAAATACTATTTATCCACAGTTATATAAAATCATGTACAAGGTACAGGTACAGTCTCGTAGGGCGTGTACAGTGTACACGTGATGTATGGTACAGTCTCGTCACATCAACACAGACACCGCCGCCGCTTGTTCCATTGTCATTGGCCGTGTTTTATTGCCATTTATAGTTTTATTATTTTGCTTCCATTGTTCTCTTTTTTGTTCACCACTAAACAAATGACAAAGGATTTTTATCAGGTTTGATCGATTCATCAGTTGTCGTACATCAGTAGTTTTTTTGTGATAAATGTACCGGGATTTGTATATTTATATACAACCCTCGTATGGTAATATACTGTCCATCACTTTTGACATTTCTCATAAGACATACATAATTTTAAATGTAATGTAGCCTAGAAATAAGTTTTTACAAAACTCTTGCCAAAATTAGAGAGATTTATCATATGTTAATTTTCCCATCCAACGTTGTATTATGAGTGTTTGTGTTTTCAGGAAGATACCTTGGGGAGTGAGAATTTTAATTGGATAACCTTTTGAAAAGGTAAGTCATTTTTTCTTAAACAATCTAATTCTTTCTTTTGAAAAAATACCAACAAAGTTCTACCTAATCTTTTATAATATTGAATAGGTTGATACGTTATTTCTCATCATACACTCATCCTTCACTCATATTTGGGTTAAAATACATACATAGTGGCGTCCCCATCTTAATTATTTGATGTTGGTATTGATATTTAACAGAGTACCTATTTTATCGTTATTTATTGACATCCATAAACAACATGTTATAACCAAGGCGATACATTAAACACATTTACAGCAATTTAATGTGTCTTGTCCATAAAAAAAATTGTATCAATATAAAATATACAATCAGGAGGGACTAAGCAGTTATGTAGAAAAAATAAATAATGCACTTTCACCAATATTATTTAGTCATAGGTTCCATATTGCGCCTTCATTTCTCAGGACGTGATATAGAGACAGCATCATTATTGCCTACCGGCGCCGTGATATTCTTTAACCGTGTCTAAAACATAATAATCAACAAATATTAAAATAATGGACAGTAATGATTATTTTAATTATCAATTTTAAAATTTAAAATTGTCATTTAATCATTTATCATTTAGTGGTAGTTTTGTATTCTAAGGAAGAGATTAAATTATCTATGATGGTTCAAGCAACTGGCAGGGTTTATACCAACTATTTAATCATAAAAAGGTATTTGAGTAAATTAATTATCTTTATTTGAAGATTCTCCATCATTGTTTTCTTCACAGTATTTTCATAGCATTTACTAAACAATTAACATGAACTAAAAGCGTCCGACAATCTTCATTTGTGTGTCTATTGAAAATGGCAAATTTATTTTGAGAAATATAACACTATTTATATTGTATGAAACAAGTCTCACACCTACAATCTATCTTTTGTGTATTAATTTGTATGTTATTTTCGTTAATGTCGACGATATAGGAATGTTATTCCGTTATTTGTGTAAGGGAACGGTCCAAAACGTCAACATGTTATAAAGCATACACTCCACTCATATTTGTTCAAAAGTTACACCATAGTTGAAATGCAATAGCCGAAACAGATAGGTAATTAGTGTTAGAAGGTTGGTACACTTGTAACCCAGTGATCAGCTGATGTTTCATTGTCGACAATTGATACAGTTCGTAACTATCTTCTTTCTAGTTGAATCCTGAATCTAGCTGTGCGTCGTAGTGAATGTTAGAGTTTTCGTAATTGATACAAATGTGTTTGGAGTGTGTTTCGTCAGAAGTTTAAGAGTGCTGTAGTTATTTTACATTACGTGAATTAGAAAAGTTTACATTTCGACTGAGTAATGACTGAATAATCCCTACCAGACTGCTACAGTTAAATATTAAGGTACAGCTATTTGCTACATTGGCTTACACTTTTCACTTGCTAATTGATATATTTATCAGCCAAGCAACCGTCTCATATAGTTTTGCTACGAAATAATAGTGGGTACAGTTTCTAAGTTTCTTTACTACTTCTTATTCCCATACTAGTTATAAGTTACTTGGCATATTTTTCACATTATACATAATACAATATACTTTAAATATTATATTTCATCAGCTTTGTATTGTAATCATGATTAATCCTTTATTCAGCTATGGCGAGTAATATTCCTGTTAAACAAAGTCTGAAACTTACAAGTAAACAACGTTCATATTGGTCATTCATAGGAATTAATACTAATAAATCCTAGCTATCTGCTAGATTTACTAAAGATTAACACCAAGTTTCTAGGATTCTCTGGCCTGGTTTAGCTACCAGGTTGTTATTCACCCCAAGTTTAATTTATTTCCGCTAGCATAGTAGTTATTTATATACCATTATCACAGGGAATTAAGTAAGTAAGAAATTAATATCTTAATTTTCTGTGATTTATTTACAAGGTTACTATTTGGCGTGGCTTTTGGTTTGGTTGGAACAAGGTATTATGTCTAGTTTGTTTAACTTAACTCTTAAAATTCCAACCTAAATAACTTATTACATACATTTTTCAGTTACACATTAATATTAACAAGTTTCGGAGTTTTGGGCACGTAACGAGACGTGGAATTATAAAATACCCCCGCCGCAGCAAACCTGCCGACTAAGCGAATTTCCATTTGTCTGAATTGATTTTCAGTTAAATATATTTTAATTACATTAGGTTTAACGAGTACCTAGGTTTGCTGCTACAAGGAAACTAATAAAGTGTGTTTTTGAGTAAAATATAGATAGCTTAGTACAAAATAAATAAATTTGCCAAGTTTGATCAAAATATATCCATAAACAAGCAAACTACAACATTTGACAATATTCTCCATAAAAATAACATGGGAATTTTAAATTTACAATTTTTTTTATTTTCTCCGCTACTAATAATAGAACAAAAATTCTTTTATATACTAAATTATTTGTTTTTTTTAAGCTCTTTAAAAAGGTCTAAAGAGAAATCGGGAAATTTTGTGTTTTGAGGGTCAAAAGTGAGAAAAACCAATTTTTACCCCATAAAAGCCCCCGTAAAGCCCCGTTCCCATGGTCCGATCGTGCTGGTTCGCGAACTCATTCAAGTTTATCCCGCTTTACACCTTTAAACCAAATTTCATCAAAATCGGACAAAAATTACTCAAGTTATCGCGTTCACGGACGTATATATATATATATATATATATATATATATAAGTCTATATATATATATATACATATATAAAAATTTGAACAAATGGTGTTTTTGGCCTCTGGGGACATCAAAATGAAAAAGTAAATCGGTCCCGGGTCTAGGTCTTACCGTGCCACCTACGGTAATAGCTACTTCCCTATAGGGAAATTCGCTAAAAGCTCACAATCGCAAATAAATCGGCAATAGATACATTTTGATTATTATTTTGATTTAACTGGAGCCTTTTAGGTGTAGACTAAAGTCATTGTAAGGCAGAAATACGTAATTACTACACAAAGTAAAAACGTGCTAAGCTAATACTCCATCTTTTCGCTAGCCAGTTATTTACTCATAACATTGATTAACATCATTTAGTTATTAGCCATTTAGTTATTGATTTTATAAAAGGAAAACTTGATGTAATCAAACATTAACTATCTTGAAAAGTTGTAGGACAAAGTAAAATACGCGTATAGTGTCCAATCTGTATTAAATTTTATCATAATTATAGATAAAAACCCATCCTTAGGGTAGGTAAGGTAGGAAGGTGTTGTTATCTGTTTGGTTTGTACTACCCAGATTTGTACTAACCTCTAAGATCTGACGACCAATACCTTACATGGCTACGTCCAAATTCACCAACATTTTTGGGGTCGTTTCTAAATAATGTCCAAATTCACCAACTTTCTACCTGGAGCAGGTACGATATTTCTCCCGGCGGGCGGGGAAGGAATTCCGAATAGTTTGCCCTCGCCTGCTCCGTCTCGTCTCGGCGAGAGTGTACTGCTTAGCCCTAATAGTACTGTTTAAGCTGTGATTGTTTCAGACAGCTTTAGGTTAGGTTAGGTTTGGTTAGGTTTGGTTTGGTTAGGTTAGGTTAGGTTAGGTTAGGTTAGGTTACAGTACACTCTCGCCGAGACGAGACGGAGCAGGCGTTGGCAAACTATTCGGAGGGAATTCCTTCCCCGCCCGCCGGGAGAAATATCGTACCTGCTAAAGGTAGAAAGTTGGTGAATTTGGACATTAGAAACGACCCCAAAAATGTTGGTGAATTTGGACCTGGCCACCTTACATTTAGGGCCAGTAGGGGTCGGTTAAATATTCCCTTGTCATTGTAGAGCGATGGACGCATTACCGGTGCATTATGGGAAATGACGCGTACTTTAGCAGCGTCTCCGCAGAAGGAGCAACAGGATCCATTTGTCGGCGGATGAACATGTTCTGTGAATGTTTTAGTGTTTAATATAATTCTTTTACAAAGATAAATTGATTGGACTGTATAGTATTGGCTACTTAATTTACTATTTTGTATTAGCAATAGTTCACATTGCAATATGATTGTATTGTTTTTCTCTCTCATTTTCCAAGGCTCGTAAGGTGCAACGGGTTCACTTGAGGGGTTTTATTAGTTGGTGCATCTTTTGTTTATTATTCAATTTAATTAATTAATAAAAAAATTGGGCCCACTAAAAAAAGTTCTTCAATTTTCAACTAAGTTAGTAAATGCCAGAATATACCAAACAGTTTAGCTAAAAAGATAAAACGACATTTCGCTGTGTAATAAAATTTTATTATTTTAGTTGATAAAATTTTAGATCATCCAACTAACCAACAACATTACTCGTTAAAAAGGTGTTATTTTCTCAGACGCTGATAACCTGTGTTTAAATTGTAACCTTCGACTGATTAATTAGCCTACGTTTTGCGTGTCATTCTAAAGGTCCATGCACACATATCAGTCCTGGAACGTCACAGTTCAGACATATCAGTCACGTCACAGTCAACCAAAATATTCTTTAGTGATTTCTATTGCGTTATCTACACTAATCCGGCGCAAGTCCGTCAGTCAATTTTAGATTTCTTTCCACCGATATTTTTGGATTGTTCGGTCACCTGACGGACGTGTTTGAGGTTAGGAAATAGTGTTTTGTTATTTCAATGATTGTGTTTGTATTTTAAGTTCTGTTTGTAAGAATGAACCAAATGAACGGCCAAAATTTGATAGAATATTGTGTTTCAATTACAAAATTTTGTATGTTATACCACTTTTAAATAAAGTGACGGAAGACTGACTGAAACCAAATGACTGAGAAATAACAGTGTGAGGCTTGACTGAGAAATTACAGATACAACTGAAACTGAACTGTATCTTGACTGCAACGGAACTGTGACTGGAGTGATATGTGTCAGTATGTTAGTTATTCCGTCAGGTGCCAGTGGAATTATTTAATTATTTTGTTTATACTCCCATACGTTACTAAATGTTCTAATACATCAACATTAATTGTTCGGATATCCAGTATTTAAATCTAATTGGATATTGGAATTCATCACCCAGTGTATAAGATATGGAG